AGGCTCTATGTTGCAAAGGCTCTATGTTGCAAAGGCTCTATGTTGCAAAGGCTCTATGTTGCAAAGGCTCTATGACAAGTTATTTCTAAATGACAAGTCTCCTCACATCAACACAGAGAGGACTGGATATTCTGGTTCTTCCTGTATGAGTCTTCATCAGTAAGCATTCAATCTCATATAAGATCAAAAATATTTTACTTTTAAGTTTATTTCAGAACCTGGACTATATTACTTTCACTCTAAATAGGTAAGTTTGTACTTTTACTGGAGTAAAGAATTAAACTTCAGTTACCAAACTTTCTGCATTCTGATTTCTAAATAATCTTCTCTAGCTAAAGTCTCTGTTTAACCTTTGTAGTTAGATAAAAAAAATGTTCACTATGTGAATCAGCTTTCGTTTTCTCCTTTCTCCATCCACCTAAAAAATGCATCTATATTTATCAATAAAGAGATGAAATGTGTTAATCTTTCAAGTTTTCTTTTGTAAAATAGCTGAAACTGAATGAGGTTGTGTCAAAATTGGGAGTAGATTCAGGTTCATTTTGTCAACTAGGGGGTGAGGTTTCTTGCAGACCCAAATGCAGAGATGAGTTCTTGAAGGTTTGATGAAAAACTGGGGCAGACATCCAAAAATCCAAAATAAAAAATAGAAAGAACCACAAAATCAGAAAACATTAAATAAAACTCATGTGGGGAGCCAGAGACAAGGAACCAGCTAACAATGACTGAACATGAGGCGTATAAATGGGAGATGAACAAAGACCAGGCTAATCAGCAGATTGGGAGCAGGTGTGGACAGAGGAGACTAGAAGGGAGATAGGGAAAGAGAGACTGACACAAGAGAGCAACAGCAACAAAAGAGCAACAAAATGGAAATTAATACAATAAACTAGAAAACATAGAAAGACATGAACCAAAGCATAACTGAAAACTCAAAAAAGAAAACTTAAACAGAACCAAAAAGTTATATTTGTCCCCGGACCTTGGCTGGGCCCTTCAAATCCAGAAATATATTTTTTTAAATAAACATTTCTCACTGTTCAACAACTTTAAATGTGTCTCTTCTTTAAAAAAAATCTGAATCACATAATAGGACCTTTAGCAGGCCTTGGTAGAACTTGGTTTTATTCCATTAGCGTAATGAAGCAAAAGTGAAAGTGTGTTTTTTCTTCATGCGTCATTCTGTTTGTGACATGAAAATGTACACACCTTTTTATGTTTTGGACTTTCTAATGGAGAGGTATATTTTTGTAACTTATTTTGTAGTTCTTTTCCAGAGGCTGCAGTCCGAAATTGCCAAACATCATCCATGTACATGTCTGTCTCATAATAATGGACATGAAAAATGTTACAGTCCCGGAGGACATGCAGGTGTCCGATCAGAAGTCAGATCAGGAGAACAGATCAGAACAGGAACAGGTAGGCTCAATTGTTAAGAGACAGAACAGGATTAGATCAATAGAAACACTAAGATACCATAAAAAAATTCTCTCCACTGAGATCATACAGGAACATGGAGGTTAAGTGGCTGAGAGGCAGAACAGGTCAGGTAATCAGAAACACCAGGGAAATCTAAAAACACTCTGACCACTGGCCAGAGAGAAAAATAATAATCTGCCCTGATGACTGGATGCAGTCAGCTTAAAGAGGCAGGAGGAGGTGGATCAGATGAGAGGTAATTATAAACCGGGCAGAATTGGACAGGTGAATGAAATGAGGGATTTAACTTTATCTGGGTTGGATTTAAACATAAAATCAAATAAAGTGTAATCTAGACATTTTAAGTTTTATTTTTTCCTTTCGTGTTAACCTTATGGTATATAGTGCGTGATCTAAGAAAGAAATAACAAAAATAAAAGATCAACATGGTTTAATCCTTTTTTGCCAGACCTCTCTAATCATGTCCGATGATGATGTCAGACACGCAGATTAACGGAGAAATTTAAAAAGCATCAAATTGTATCAGAAAAGTAATAAAAATTGTTTTAAAGATTTTAAATAGCATTTTTAGTGAGTTTAAGGTGTGGTGGAGGATATCTGGTTCCCGGCCGGATCATCAACATAAGTTGTCTTCGTAAATGTCAATCATTCTGGGGATATGTTGACGTAAGGCCAGCCTACGAGCTCGTCCTCATTTTAATCTTAATCTTAATCCTATGCTGAAAAAATACCCGGCTGCCGAGAATTACCTCCCCTCTCGTAACTGATTAGAAAATGGATTAAAATATGAACGAAAAGGGAACTTTTAAACACATTCTTAATGTTTTCAAAATTCTTATGCATGAATGCCTTAAAATTCAGAGTTTTGGTGATGCGCGTTCCTGCGAACGGAGGTTATTCTCAGCAGGCAAGATTTTCTAATAATTTATCTGTCCACCAAATCTCTCAATTTTAGGGCATCCATGCATTAGAAATATGAAAACATTAAGAATATCTTTAAGTTCCTTTTTCATTCATGTTTCAGTCTGTTTTCTCATCAGTGTTGCGAGGTGACGTATTTCTCGGCACACAAGAGTCTCGGCCGATAGTCTCGACAATGACAAAAAATAAATACAGATTAACAATGAAATTAATAAAAAATACTTAATAATAACTTTACTGTCTTTTGTAAATGAGATTACAACAAACTTTCCTCTATAGATCATAATACTCATTATTAAAGAGCAATCCTTAAAAATACTGAATTATATATATATATAGCTATAAATATATATTTATATAATATAATGTTAGAATATATCAATTAATATTTGTTTGTTTTTATCATATTAATATTTAATTTTGAAATATATAACTATGTTTATATTTCATCCAGTTTGAGTTCAGTTTAAATATTTTTTATATTTAATCTAACTGAAAGGTCCTTTTAAAATTGTTTTGTTCTTTTAAAGGGTTGTGACATGTTGGATATTATTGTAATATAATCTTAGACATACCCAGAAGTTCTCACATCCCCAGAAGTTCTGGGCGAGGAGGAGGAGTAGCAACAATCTTTCAGTCTGACTTACTGGTTACTCCCAAAACAGTTAATACCTACAACTCTTTGAACATTTAACCCTTAATTTCCCTGATCCAAATTTCAAAGCAAGAAAACCTCTTCTTTTTGTAACTTTGTATCGTCCACCAGGTCCTTACTCTGAATTTTTAGATGAGTTTTCAGAGTTCCTTTCACACTGAGCCTGGATCTGCTGGAAGTTTCTTCCTGTTCAAAGGGAGTTTTTCCTCTCCACTGTCGCTACAAGCATGCTTAGTGTGAGGGATTGCTGAAGAGTCAATGAGTCGATGCAATCAGCTGGTTTTCCTTAGATAGAAAACTTTGAATCAATCTGACTGGATGATCTGGTGAACTGGAAAGTGACCTGAGATGACATGATGTGAATTGGAGCTATAGAAATAGACTGAATAGAATTGAACTTATCTTTCTTGTGATTAAAATGAGATCAAAGGCACCTCCTATTCATTCTAAAACCAGCTGTCTGAACCAACATCTGTTTAAATTGTCAAGCAAACAGCACATCTAGAAACACCCCCCCTCCAGCCCCTCCTCCACCATCGTAGCTAAAGCTTCATCAGAGCGTCATTCCTCCTGGACTCTTACTGAGTTCCCTGTTTCATCTCAACCGGTCCGGCAGCAGACCGCCATGTTGAGCCTGGTTCTGCCAGAGGTTTCTTCCCAATGGGGAGTTTTTCCTCTCCACCGTCGCTTCATGCTTGCTCATCATGGACAGGTTCTCTCAACCTGTGTTATCCAGCTGGACTTCCATCTTCCAGGTCCCTGAGTGAAGCTCTAGTATCAGCTCACGCAGTCCTCTGGATCTCCCCATAAAGCTCAGCAGACCGTCTCTCCAACCAGCAGTCTACAGACTGACCAACTCCATCTATCTCCACTCCACCACCAGTTTCAGGCCTGGGGGGAAACAGCCCTGTTCTTTAATCCTGTTCATGCAGATTAAACTAAATTCAGTGCTAATGTTTCCTGCCGAGGTCTGAGCGCCAAAGACTAAAGAAATTTTACCAATAAATTTCTTGTAATTGTCTTTTTCTTTGTGTGAGTTTTTCACATTAAAATATTTAGTACTGAGAAACGTGTTCTATACCTCTTTTCTTTTTTTTCAAAACTTTTGACTGATGGGATTATGCTTATTTATGCTCTTTTAGCATTATTAAGTATTGCAAAGAGAAAAAAAAACATTTGATTTCTGTTGTTAACATTTTCTTTATTGTGTGTTTCCAAGTGCTAAAATATAGCAGCACTGAGTATTTACTCTAGAAAATAAGTCATGACAAATCATTACTACAGAATATACAGTTGAGATTTGGAATTTAGTTTATATCCACCATTTACTTTTCTTTTAATATAAATTTAGAATGAGCTCATATGTTTTTTGCGCCGACCATGACGACTTGCAAGTTCCTTCTCTTTATCTCTCTGGACATCTGACACCAAACGCAGGGAAGGCAGAAGGTGACGAAAATGCAATCCCTAGCAATGGAGCCCTGTGGATCAGAGACATTCATTTGGTTAAACTCAACAACATGTGCTTCTGTTGGCCATAACACAAACTAACCACATCATTACGCTGTTTTTTAAGCAGACAATAATAAATAAAAATAATCAAATTTACTCTCAAATTATGATTGTGATTATGATCATTTGACAAGCCACAAGCCTGAGTAGTTTCACTGCAGTAGAAGTAGAACGATGCATCAAAATGACCAGTCTGATAACATAAAAGGTTAAAAAATGCAAAGTAACAAATGCCCTGTTTTAAAAGAAGTGGAAGTGAATAGAGAACATAATTAAACAGGGAACAATGGTGAACCCAGCTAGATTCCCAAACATAGACATCATCAACAGCTCATCCAGGAGGTCCTAAACTGGAACAAAATCTAATCCCACTGCAGGTTTGGGATGTTTCGTTTCTTTGCGACGTTGACAATAAATTCTATTCTCTAGCCCAAAATTCTGAAACTATTATTATGTAAAGTATTATGACCTCAGACAGGCCCAAAAACCTAAAGAAAACTGACTGAAATAAAAGAAATTTAGGAGGAAACTCCTCCTAGTTTATATCAAAGCCAATCCCTGTTAGCTGGGCTTTTGTCAATGGCAGCTAAAAACTGCCCAGTTTTCATGTTTTCAAACAGTCCAGGTTGGGTGTTTATTTCTATTCCCCTTTTGTCTGTGTTTATTTACAGCTTAATTACTGGGAAAAAAGGCCTCTACAGAGACAAAACTATGATTATCCGAAAGATTTAAATGTAAAAAAGATATACAGTATCAATCTTTAGAAATACCACATTTTGATCAGAATTTAGGTTTTAATCGTCACTGAAGGTTAAAAAAAAGAAAAGTTAAACCAAAACTCATCTGAATTAATTAATTCATTTATTAAGTGTTTATGTCTGATTATTCCCCTTGATGCCGTACCTCGATGTTGTAGCGCTCTCTCATGCTGGTCCTCATGGACATGGTGATTGGTGAGATCATATATGCAAAGCACTCCAGTAACGGGGTGCAGAGATGCTCCCCATACGCTCTGCTGGTCAAGCAGGCAAAGCAGGGGAGGCACCAGAATGCAAGACAGCCTGAAAGGACAGAAAATATACATTAAACGTCACCGTGAGCTCAGGTATGGAAATGAGATACATAGAAAAAGAAACAATAAAATGACATGCCATTTATAGGAACCAATTAGCAATCAAGGAATACCTCTTCTCTCCAGGGATTACCTGAAGGGAAGAGCTTAATGCACATTAATAAAGTTTAAGGCTCCCATTCTTACAGTCTCTCATATCCGTAAAGCAGCCACATATGCCGCTCCCCCACTCCCGAGAGTTTTGCATCGCCATCACTTGCTGAGGTGGGTTAATCACTACTTTAGTTTCCATGATGAAGTCTAAAAGATGAAAAGAGTGAAGTTTGAACAGAGAAAAAAAAACTGACTTTGATGATAAAAATGATTTTGTATTGTCTAAGAATGTTTATTTTTTTCCTAAAACAATGTTGTATGGCCAACAAAATGGTCAGTCACAGCTGATCAACCTTTTACCATAATTTGTTGCATGACTACATAAATCAGAAAAATAATCTTGTATTGATCAAATCAAACTGACAGGTACCGTCATGTTGTCATAATCTTGGCGCTGATGTCTGGTCTGATTACTCATTTAACTCACCTGCTGATCTCCACCCAGTTCTCATTACAGCTCATCTGTTCCACCTGCTCCAGTCTCTTTTTAACCAGCCTTCAGACCAGTCAGCAGGGCCAAATCATTTTCGAGGCAGTGGTGAGAAGTTTTCTAGCATTCCTGTATTTCTGATTGCCTGATCCTGACCCATTCGACCTTTGAGCATGCCTGTCGCCGTCTGATCTGTTTGACTGACCTGTCTTCTGACTCCTGACGGATCTATGTCTGCCGGTGTGCCGAGCCTAGAACTGTTACCTGACTTCTTCTGGATTCTCCTTTGGATCACTGATCTCCTGGCTCTGACAACTGCCTATGTCGCAGACACCGGCTTTGCCTTCGCCCTGTGGATTATCCTGCCTCCCGTCTGCTTGGGTCTGATCCCCGGCCTGTCCTCTGCCTACCCATACATCAGCATCTGGGACTCTATGTGGCACTCGCTGTGTTGCGTTGGCAGCCGACCGGCTAGAACAAACCTTATCCTCTGGGCTCGGACTAAACATAAGACCAGGTTAGTGACTCACACATTCATTATGATCCACTTCCAGAAATGTGGTCACTAACCTGTTGTCTCCTCCTGCACAGGTTCCTGCCTTAACCAAAAATTTCACATCCTCCGTCACCGTCCCGCTCTTTCCCAGACCGCCTATGCTAAGCAAAGCCTACTGCCTCTGCTGTTCCTCCCGTCTTGCCTGCGATTAGCTTGGAGCTCGAAGAGAACATGCGCGATAATATGTAATTCATAGAAGTAAAACATGCGATAATGAACGCTTTATTTAATAAAAAGTTACCATCAGTATCCATCAAACATGCAGTTTCTGCCCAAACGTTTTCTTTTCGCTGTGGGTCTTTGTAATAGGGATGTATAGGATCATACAAAATAGTCTGTTCTCTACATAAAAAAACGTAGCATGTTTTCATCTGTGCCTGCGATAAGGCGTTTAGTTTGAAGTTGTCAGAATCGCATTTGGAGGTTGTGACTGGATTTGATGAAACTTTTTCTACATTTTTATAAAATAAATGATCAAGTAAAAAAAAATTAATCAAGATGAGAAATCTGCTTCCTGGTAAGTTGAAGTACCAAAAGTTTGCATCCAATAATTAAATTAAACAGTCTTAGTTTTGAGAATAAATAAGATTTATGCTCTAATTAGTTTTTACCGATCTGTCAATACCATATTTTCATTTGACAAACCGGATCTTCTCAAAGTTCTTTTTTTTCTTTTTGGTGCGATTGCAATATAGGATCTGAACCTGGCCTCCAACAGACAGGAGCGGAGCGAAAAATAGCTCAGCTTCGTATTTTGACAGTGAAGGACGGAGAAAACGTTCATGGACGGTGACTTGCAGACGAGTAGCAGTGGATGTGTAGCAGTTCTCATTGATTAACATGACTGTGCAAGTGCTCTGCACGACGTACGTGAGCGCGGCAGAACGGAGATGTGACAGAGGACGTGGAATCTGGGGGTCAGACGCGGTTCTCTTGGGCTCTGTTTCTAATGAACATTTTGATAATAACTGTTTGTTTGCCTCGGATACTGGATCCTATTGTTCTGAGCTCGACACATGGAACTGGTACATTATACAAAGTAGATATGATTCTTTTTTTTTAGTCATAAATGTATTTCATTTGGTTAATAAATACCTAAATACAAATCTAAAACAATTTGGAGGCAGATATTTAAGCAAAAGAGCTGATTTCAGATTGAAAAAGTAACAAAACTAATAAAAATTAGTAAATTAGTTAACGATTATTTCAATAACCGATTGATCCCTTTAATCAATTAAAGTGTCTGTTTGTATGTATGTATGTGTATATATATATATATATATATATATATATACTGCATATACACATACATTCACACACAAAGAGAGAGAGAAATACCATATTTATTCTATAAATAAAAACGTACAATTAAATTTCACAGTGAAAAAGCTGGTGGCTCACCTCTGTGTTCGATGGAAGGGCTCTAAGAAGAAATGGCTCTATGAAAAGCTGTTGATAGGCACTAAAATAGAAGTCTCACACATCAACAAAAAGACTGGATATACTGGTTCTTCCTGTATGAGTCCTAATCTGTCTCAGTGAACATCAGTGTTGTTTATTGAAGTTTCATATTATGTACATTGAAGTTTAAAAACTAAAATTACAAAAAATATATAATATATATATATATAATATATATATATATATATATATATAGTATAGGAGACTGACTCAAGAGGGCAACAGAAGGCAAACAACAACAAAATCAGGAACACACCAACAGTAAGACGTGGGTCGGCTGGAGGAGACTGTGTTGTTCCTCTGCATAAAAGTACTTTTACTCAAAGAGCCTTTGCAGTTAAAGCATCTCAGGAATGGAACTCTGTCCCTCAGAACATCAGAGGACTATTCACTATTTTCAAAAAGCATCTAAAGAATTGGCTCATAACACATCAGTCATGTCAGCATTAGTTGAATGTCTATCAAAAACAAGCCATGCTGCCACTTGTGCCTCTGCTTTGTGTACGTATATATGTGTATGTGTATACGTGTGTGTGTGTGTGTGTGTGTGTGTGTGTGTGTGT